AAACCAACGACATTTGATCGATATCGATCGTGTGCACCGCCGAGACTTGACTACTGTTGCCCTCGGGTGTTCTCTCTCTCCATGCGGTATTCCTATCGGACAGGCGGAACGCCTGCGCTGCAACCACCACCCTCACGAACACCTTCGCAGGTGGTGGCGCTCAGTTCGAGGTTCTCGATGACGACGAGCTGGGGTGGGCTGATACTCCCCTTCCCCCCAGCATGTCTCATTCGGCCCTTGCTGAAGAGCTCAGAGTCGATCTGTTTGTGCAACCAAACAGCCGGCTTCGGTCAACGTTCTAGAAGCATATCCCCGCAGCTTCCATTGGGGTTGCGAGTTTCCGGGAATTTATCGGACCTCACACCTTGCCCAAGAGCAATTCTTGCGCGGCCAAGTCCTCTGACCAATTTCACTCGCGACCCTCGCGACAAGTTCATCACGAAGATGCATCTCCGCCGAGGGATTACCAGCACCCCAACCCTCCAAAGGACCCTTGCACGTTTACGACTCGGGGGATTTTTGCGGTAGTGGAAACCATCGAACCACTTCATGCTGCGCTTGATTAGTCTTGTTTGGACGATCACGGCTGCCCGGTTCTCGGCTATCACAACGCCTGGGCGCGTTCTTGGTGCGCGGGGTATGCCTTTCCCCAATGGTGATGGCTTCTGAACATGGCCAGCGTCACTCGTCGAGTGTTGCCCTGCAGGTGGTGTTGGTGCCAGGCATTAGAGCATGGAGCTCTCCGAGCTTGCCTAGTGGTGGGGGACGGTCGGACTAAGCCGATTGCCAGTGTTGGTGATTGGTAGGTATGTCGGTGAGAGAAAGATTATTGGTCGACAGCCCTGCAGCTCAAGCGAGTATCGGGCGCTGAACTTCTGTCAATGACCCCTCATCCTGATTTTACACACGCTTTCATTCTTTCTTTATCACCCCACGCCCCGAGCCTCCCACGTTCGTTTTGAATGTGGGCAGACCCCCATGGGCAGCACCGCCATGTCATGGACGAGCTTCGATGGCTCTTCTTTCTCGGTATTAGATGGGTATGCTTGGCTTGGGCTGGTCGCATGTCGCAATGGGGGTCACACGTGAGGCCCGGCCTCGCCGTCTGCTGTGTGAGAAGATGATAGGGGCAGCGTCGTTTGGTGGTCGGTGATGGACTGGCTTCCGTGGTGCGGTCGAGGTCAGCCAGCTCCTTCAAGCATGTGTCCTACATCGGCAGGAGCTGAGTTCAGGAGATGCTGCAAGATGCCGACTTGGCTAGAACCCTGGTGACATGGGGAAGGAGCCTCTTGTCGTGTGTACATGGAGGTACTTGGCCGCTGAGCCTTTGAAGATTACCCATGTTTCATGATGGCGTCGACTTGTGTGCATGCAAGATGCAGGTCAAGACGTAAGTGGAAGTCTCTATCTGTTTTGTCCGAGTAGCTTCTGCTCTCAATGTTCTCGCCTTCGTACACTTTTGCCCTGGCAGGATCTCGCTTTTTCGCGTTTTCCTACACCGCAGTCACTACCCCATTGACTCGGCTGGATGCCACAGGGCATAGATGAAACATTTTGACCCATTGCTGGGCGCCCGCGTTGAGAAGACGTTTTGCTCTTTAAGGATATTCGGGAATCAGTAGAGGTTACATTTTATTTTGCTTTCTTTTTCATGGCATTGCGTGCATCACCGGACATGAATAAGGATGGGTACGAGAAAGGAAGTTGGAGAGAGTTTGCATCCCCCACACTTCGTTAGTTTTGTCTGCAGGAGGCTGCAGGGTATGACGAGGAGGTTATCCAGTTGCCCTGGGAGCTGTCCCACACCCTCGGCCGATCCAGTGTGGGATAGTTTTCCGAGTGCCTTTGCGACAGGGGTGTCATGGAAGACTCCTGCGACGCTGTTGAAGCTCTGACCACATCGGAGAGGAGCGGCTGTGATAGCTACTCGTCAAGGGCTCTGGATGTCGGATATGACCGTCAGCGATGTTGTGGCAGACGGGGAAACTTGAACAAAAGGGGAAAGTCGTTGCTATCACAGAAAGCTTAACCAAAAAGCAGGTGAAACCGGCACGCATGTATCACTCTGCAGACGGCCGACGTCAACGATCGGAAACGCAACGGTTCTGGTTGGCAGGTTGGGATGGTAGAGCTTGTTGTTTAACCCCCTTATGCTTGGGGATATGCGAAGGCGGAATTCGTAACGTTCCGGTAGGTTGGGTAGCAGTAGCGGTAGGCCATATGTAGCACACATCACAATCGCAAGATAAGCAGCAAGACAATCCTGTCGGTTTTGTATATGTTGCACAGGATGGATACCCCGCGCAGTTGTGACAGCCATCTGGGACCGATACGCGACGCTTGTTGACGTCGCACAGCTGCATGTGTGTGTGTGTGTGAAGTGCGGTTGTGTTGGATGCGAAGCTTGTGTATACATGAACAACGTCGTTCGAGGGGCAAGCTGACGGAGGGGAGCTGGCGTCATGTGTGCGAGGGCGATGCACATGGTTCAAGTGGACGTTCGATTTGCCAGCAAGAGAAAAAGCTGGTAGGTAATAATCCAAGAGGAACTGATGACCTCTGTGTCTGTGGACTGGACCCGATGCAGTGGGAGAGACAGAGAGGGTGGTGGGGGGGAGGAGGGGTGGGGAGGGGGGAAGCTTTTGAGGGTTGCGTTGCTGTGTTGGACAACAGCTGTGGGTGGTTCGTTCTCTTTCGGTTTTGTATGTCTTTTTGACTTGAGTTTGGTACCAAGTGGATGATGGCTTGAGTTTGCTCCAGACAAGTACCCAGTACCTTACAATGAGTACCCTTTTTTTTCGTTTTGGGCCATTGTGCGTGTGTGTCTCTGTGTGTGTATGTGTGTGGGCATGCCACTTTTTGCTTTTTCTTATGGAGAGGGCTGACTGGCTTATGGGTTGAAAGAAATTCGGGGTCCTTCAGGCCGAGGCGGCGAGGATGGGGAGTACACGTTGTTTTACTATATGGGATGGTGATGAAGGTGTTATTTCCGGTGATGATGGGCGGGGGGATATAACTTTTTGTTTGCATGGGAGGGAGGTTGACCTGGTGGGTGAGAAGACAATGTTTGGGTGGTTGTTGTTGTTGTTGTTGTTGTTGTTGTTGTTGTTGTTTCTGATGTTGTTGTTTTTGCCGATGTTATAGATGATACACAGATATGTATATATATATATTATATATATGATTGTATAAGTAGAGGTCGTCCTCGCCCTGCCCAGACATCGCCAAGCCGGGCATCTAAGGGGACTGCCGCTCGCACAGTTGAGAAAAAAGAATGGAAACTTTTTTTACGGACCAGTTCCGGTTCTTTCTCCACGATGCTGGCCGCGTTCGGCACCGGTTCCGTTGGGTTGGTTCGCATCATCCATCCCATCCTATCCATTGTTTGTTCGTGTGTGTGTGTGTGTGTGTTGCTGACCTCCCTCCTCTCCTCCCCCACTTTTTCCCTTCAAACTTCCCCGCAGTTCTCCCTCAGAGGGAAAAGCAGTTTTCTTGGCGATGAACCGAACCGCGGTTTCTCCACACCACCACTTTAGTGACGCCATTCACGCCAACCACACCACACCTTTCTCTCTCCTTTCCCAACGACCGACTGACTGCTGCCCTCCATCCCATCTTGTATGCGGAGTTTTGCGTGACGTGATCAATCAGCATCTGTTTTGTTTTCGCCCCTGGTGGTCAAGGGTTGATTGATGCTCATTGCTTTTTTTCTTCTTCCTGTTTTGCTTCTGACCACTAAATTTCCGAAGAGAGGGAAGCGGGTCTAAACTCCAATCGGCGACCGATCAACTACTACACCGAGACTTGTGGGAGAGACGTGGGGGATTGGATTGGATTGGGACGCTTATACAAGGCTAAGGGTAGCCACAAACCACCGAGGGTTTGAAAGACGTCGGTTTACGAAGGAGAAAGGGTTTTAATTCCGCGAGCGAGCGAGAGGTGTGAGGTTGTCAGAAATCAGATTACGGAGAGGAAATCATTGAGGAAGTCCCGGTCAAGAAAGTTTGGGGGATTAAGAGAGCCGGGGTTGAGAGAGTTTTTGGTTTGCGGACGGGCGAGAGATACATGGGCCTGCTTCTTTGAGGCAAAGGGTTTCTACAAACGGGACCATCATAATACAGAAGGAGGCGGGCTATCACGGCAAGTGTTCCCGGTTGACTACACTTACTTGACACAGCTTGGGTTGGTAAAAACAACACCAAGGCCAGTCAGCAGTAAGGACAAGAAGGACGGTGTCAGCAACAAAACACAGAGAATTAGTCTCACAGAGAATTGAGCACAACACGCACTTCGGGTCTAACGGCAGCGCATATTACGAGGTGAGGGATAAACAACCCTCATCATCAACAACAACAACAGCAGCAGCAAAATCCTGCTCGGAAAATCAGGTTCTCGACAGTAGGGCAAAAACCAACGACAGCAACAGTTCGGGAAGCTTTTCCTTTTACGTATTTCTCTGCTGAAAGGGAAGTAAGGGGCTGTTGACCTGAAGAGAACCGACAGACGGGAGAGGGTATACACGGCTGAACGGCAAAGGGAACACCAGAGGCAATACGCCGGAATTCCCGTTGGTTATACAGCAGACAGGGAAAGAAGAGGTAGGGTCAGGAGAGAGGGGGTTACATACATACTGTTCGGGAGTGAAGAGAGATAAGGCGGGCTTTGGGTTGTTGCACGGCAGTATTTTGCATTTCCGAGGTCGTTATTGGGGGTTTTTTTTTTGGTTTTTTTTTTTTTGAGTGAGGGAGGATAATGAGTGGGTTATATCGTGCTCCGAAGGCGGGGGAGGATCCGGATAGGTGAGTTTCCTGGGGGAGGATCAGGGTTGAAAGGTGAGGGAGGTAAGCTGACCGTGTGCTGGGAATAGGCCGGTGAATGTTGTTTTTGTTGGGGCTGGTGCGGTTGGTTGTTTTTATGCTTCGAGGTTGCATCATGTGAGTTTTTTTTTATAGTTTTTTTTTTGTCTTCATATGAGAGAGGGGGGTGTTGTTTACTGATGATTGCGGGGAAAGCCTGATCATAATATTCACGTGTCTCTTATCGCACGCTCAAACTACCGCGCCTTGGAGGAGTCGGGGGTCACGCTCCAGACTCACACGTTTGGGGATTACACTTTTCGTCCTGCGGCTGTTTACCCTTCACCGGATGCTGCGTCCAAGGGAGCAGTGAAGCAGTGGGACTACATCATCGTCACGACGAAGGCCCTCCCAGATGTGTCAGACGACTCGGCGCTTATTGCCCCGTTGGTGTCGGAGGGGTCGTGTATAGTCCTCATCCAAAACGGGGTCGGGGTGGAGGAGCCGTATCGACTGCGCTTTCCTGCCAACCCGATTGTGTCTGGGGTGACTGTCATCTCGGCGGAGCAGATCTTCCCTGGGGTGATCCGGCAGAACCGCTGGACACGCCTTCACCTTGGGCCGTACTCTGATAGTGCAAACTCGACTAGCGACAGCGTCGAAACGGGAGACGGCACAACGGGGGCTTTGGTGCCCCCTTCCCCGACCCCAACCCCGGATTCTGACTCTGACTCTTTGAACGAGACTCTCCTCTCTGTCGGCCTGGATCACTGCGACAGGCTGGGCCACTATTGGACTGCCTTTGGCTCGATTCCTGACATTACCGTGTCGAGTGAGATCGACCTGCAACTCATCCGCTGGCACAAGCTGACCATCAACGCGGCGTTCAACCCGTCGTCTGTCTTGTCGGGCGGGTTGGGGAACGCGGATATGGTGCGGGATCCGGAGCTTAGGCGGCATTTGTACGGGGTGATGAAGGAGATTTGGGACGCGGCGCCGAAGATACTTGGGAGGGGGTTTCCGGGGAAGCTGGCGGGGCCGGAGAAGATATTGAAGAGCACGGAGAGGAATGTGGGGAGCAAGCCGAGCATGTTGCTTGACTGGGAGGCGGGGAGGCGGATGGAGCTGGAGGTTATATTGGGGAATCCGGTCAGGTTGGGGAGGCGGAGGGGGGTGGAGTTGAGAAGGATGGGGACGCTTTATGCTTTGTTAAGGAGTATGCAGGCGGTGAGAGAGGGGAGGAAGGCTAGGTTGTGAGGGAAGGTATGTATATATATATATTGCTGGTGATGTTGACGTTGAAGAATGAATCTTGTTTTTTTATTTTGCTGAAATAAGTTACGTGATGGGTGTGTTGACTTGACAAGTGGTTCATTGTAGGTATCTAGTTGGTAATCACATCTGTATGTGCGCGAAGAGCTTCACTTGCAGGGCCCTTGTCGTCGCGATTCTCTTCATAACTCTTGCTCATACCTCGACATATCTTGCGTGAAGTGTATTACTTCTAGACATGACTCAACCAATGGCTTTTGGAAGCGCAAATATCTTGCCAAGCGGTCTTTGTCTGAATAGGTACATCTCTTTTCAGCTCTCTTTTTACATCCCTCCGCTTTGTGTATGATGTAGGGCGGGGGGGCCTACATTGTGAATTGAAGATAGTACTCGGTAGAGACTTGTATCGCAAGGTCCTGGGTGCCCTTGGGAGGTTTGTGAAAGATAGCTTCTGACCAAGGTAGGTAGGTAGGTAGGTAGGTAGGTAGGTAGGTAGGTAGGTAGGTAGGTAGGTAGGTAGGTGGGTGTCTTGAGAGCCCTCTCGACGAACTTCCGAGGTCTGTTGATATAAATATAGATGTATATATATTGTATGTATTACGTGTTCTTAACGCCCTTTTTCGACTCTTTCTTTTCGGCACCCTCGTTTCGAGTACTTTTGGCAGACTCCAAGTTATTGTGCACAGCATTCTGGAAGACTTTTGGCATGGGACAGTAGGTGGTTTGGCTTACGCTGATACAAGCCGCGTGTAAAAAAGATGTTGCTGGACTCTCATCGTGGGTATCGGGAAGGTAGGTTGTTGAGGAAAGAGTTTATCATCGGGTCATTTTATAGGTTATTGCTTTAACAACTTTGGAGACGTGTTTCAAACATGGAAACATTATTCTTGGATTTCACGGCAGCGAGGGAAAGATAGTTTTGAAAGAAAAAAAGCGAAAAAAAACTTTCATTTTGAACCCTGATGGGTTGAAGGTGTTTCCTGTGTTTTTGTTAGTAGTAAAATGGGGGAGGGGGGACTTACCTGAAGACTAAGTGCTCTACTCAAGAGGATGCTGCTGCTTGTTTTTCCTGCTATTTTATTAGTGGTTTGAAGGCGGCGGGGAATGACTTACCTGGATGTTCTGTAAGTTAGATACCTATGGGTTAGTTGTCCTTGAGTTGGGTAGATCTGAATGTTAGTATTGCATGGACCTCTCGATAAAGAGGCTGGAAACGGGGTTCCCTCGAAATCGCGGATCCGCGGAGGCGGAGAGATCTGTTGTGTTAGCGAGATTCATATAAACTTGTTATCATCCTGGGATGTATATCGTGTCAAGCATCCCGGTTAGATATTCGGAGAAGTTCTTTCGGGGTTCGGTATCGGCACGGACGATGGTGATCGGTTTGATATCGGTGTGGTGTTCCTGGAAGATGCCTGACCTTGGTCAGTAAATGGTTAGCAGTGCTCGGCTTGACATTGACATGACAGGCTCTTTATGTAAGACCTTGAAGTTAATGCATGGGTTTGAAGAAGAGGGTACGTAGGGCTTCGAAGCCAAGATGTGAGCTCAGATATTGGAAATTAGGGGATTACATGATGGAATGAGAGAATGCCTGTCAATCCAGTGATGTGTAGTAAGGATCGAGTCGCAGAGAGAGTGCCGCGGGGCGGCGTATATACTCCGTTGGAGATCAAAGAAGAGATCGGATGGCAGAGACCCCGGGGCTGTTGTTCACATGTCCACAAAGGGCATTGTCTCGATATATGGCCAAGTTTGAGATGAATGCTACTGTTAGAGTCCTTGTTCCCATCGAAGACATTATCTGCCGAGAATAGAGGCTGCATCTGACAAAGAAATTGGTGTCCGATCAAGCCCCTGTCTTGACAGATCTTGGACTGCTAATGCCAGATCTAACCATCGCCGCTTGGCCGTGCTCAGCTTAACTCCGGGGTCGAGATTACGTTTCGAGCTGCAAGTGAGGCCCATCGAGAGGCCTCGTTGCAGAAAGAAAATGCTTGTCAGGTTCAGACGAACGGGATAATCCGTTATGCCCGAGACACCACTGAAGAATTGCTCCTCTCTGCCCCTCCATGTGCCCCTCATCACCTCCCAATAGCCTCAACCAGCCAACCCTGTGTAGCCCGGAGCATCTTGTCCACATCCCCTGTGATTGGCTGAAGGGCGAGCAGCCATGCTACGTCATGCGTTTCGGTTCTGTGTGCTAGGAAATGACGTCAAAGTCAGGTAATAAATCCCTAGAGGCATGAGGATAGAGAGAGGGAGGAAGATATTGAGGTTTCGGGGCAACTTTCTCAGGGTCTCGGGGCTGGGTTTACTATTTGATATTTATGGAATCAGACACCACCGAGCAAACGGTTTCCTGCAGGAGTTCTGGATCGGACTGTGGAGCCGATCCTCAGCGGGGCCGATGAAACGGGCCCCGCTTGTTTCTTCTGGAAACCTGAATTGGGCGATTGGGAGCACAGCGGGAGCTCCAAAGGTTTTGTTGAAGCCAACAGCTTCACAGCTGTATGTTAGAAATTGGGGGGTAGATCTGGGCTGGGATGGGATGTCTCGGCAGGTAACTTACCTACTCCAAAAACCTTACCTAGCTGCGCTATGATACGATGCAGGAAGCAACGCCGTTTTAACCGCATGAGGTGTGATGCTCACCCATGGGCCATGGACCACCATCCATCATCAGCTAGGCACTTCTGCGGGCTCTTGGAGCGTCTTGGCGGAGACTATTCCATTTGATGGGACAGAGAGAGGGAAAAGTCCTCGGAAAAACATCCGCCACTCGGGGGTCCTCATTCATCTGTTCTTTTTGCGCTTACTTGCCACCCAGCGTGTCGACCGAGTCCCCAGTCCCCTCTCTCCCGTCGTCAAACACTCTCTCCCACATCCAGCTCCCTGGGACGCACACTTGAGCGGGAGGCGCTTTCCCGGCGGGTGCCCCCTTTACACTTGTCACTAGAGCTCTGGATTCTAGCTTCAGACCAGGCCGACACCTCGACCGTCTCCATCGGTCTTTTGCACTTGCGGCACCGCATCGACACGTGAATCGCACCGGCCGCGGCACCGCAACGAACCTGGCGATTGACAACAAACGACCATTTTGTCCCCTCTGTTCCCCCTAGTCCTCCTGTTACCATCCCACCGTCCTATATTCCCTCCTCCCACAGCCGACCTGATCAACATCCAACAGTGGCTCAACTGGCTACAAACCGACCTTGGAACGATCAGAAAACCTACACTTACGTACTGTGCTCTCTTTTGCCCTGCCGCTCGCCCAAAGATCTGCAAAGCTAGGGGCCAAGATCAACCACACCACCCTGACCTGGTGTGCGACCCGCCTCTGCTCACCTGCCCGCCCTGTGATCAGGTTTTGACATCCATTTCTCAGAATCCCATCCCCCGTTGCTGGACCCTCTTAATTACGTCTCGTGAATTGGAGGGCCAAGGTGCTTCGCTTCGTAGGTCCCTCGGTCAAAGCTGCCATCCCGCACAACACAACTACACGATAAAACACACTCCGGTCTCGCTCGACAGGCCACACAGCTAGGAGGAATCTGACAAAAAATTTTTGGCGACGGTATAATTGATCGAGCCGTGGTGTCTTGATGCCCGAGGGGAATGATTGTATAACTCGGTCTGCCGCGGAAGCTGGTCCTAACGACGAGGCTACTAGGTCTCGCGACGACGTCTTTCCCGGCATGGATCCAAAAGGAGGTGCCCCAGAGGATGGGAAACCGACACTTGACAGAATCGCCACCGACGTGGGCGACAAAGAGGAGGTATGCACCGAGTCATCGACAACTGGAACCACCCATGTTGACACAGGCACTTCCATCCCAAGTGAGGTTACGCAGTCGCCAACGGCCATGTCGACCGCCGTGTCATCATGGAGTGCGTCTGAAGATCGCCAGCTCGGCCAGGGGACCGCTCAGGATCCCACAGATCGCGTCTTTCCCATCCGATCCGTCATCAGTGTTGGGGAGCCTGGGCCGATGGGGAGAAAGTCGAGCGAGCAGGAACCGCGACGGAAGATGTCGCTTTCAGAGCCAGGACATACGCCAATCCCTCCGACCCCAGGTTTCGGCAATGGGAAACAACTGGAGCTACATTCGGAGCGTACTCCATTTGCACGGGGCCGGTCTGCAGTTGCGGCTTCGCTGCCTGTGACTCCGGCAGCCGCTCCGTGGTCGCCGCCCGCTCCCACTGCGCGAGAGCGTCGACAACAGACTGTGTCAGGGTCGCTCTCCAGCATTCAAGCGGACGCAGAAAGATACGGCAATCCCATACCGCTCTCTCTGGCCGATTCATCCGACGAGGAGCAGGCCGTAACCGAAACACCGAGTCGCGCCGAGGAAACCCTATCAGAACGCAAACCCTCCATCGCCCCGTCGATTCCCGACTCGCTCTACACAACTCGCTTCACGCATGTCATGACGGACGAGGGACACGCCGTCATCACGGGGCGGGACGGGAAGCTGCAGCGGTGCGAGGATGAGCCCATTCATACCCCTGGCGCGGTCCAAGGGTTTGGCATGCTTCTGACTCTGCGTGAAGACGCCGAGGGCCGGTTGCAAGTACGGCACGTCAGTGAAAACTCACAAAAATTCATTGGGTACCGACCCCAGGAGCTGTTCGCACTCGACGATTTTCTGGATATCCTCAGCGACGAGCAGGCCGATAATCTGCTGGACCATGTCGACTTCATTAGAGACGAGGATGCAGATCCAGCAACCAACGGTCCCGAGGTCTTCAGTCTGTCTCTCCGCCCGCCAAATCATGACAAGTCTGTCAAGCTGTGGTGTGCCATTCACATTAACCCGGCACATCCCAATCTCATCGTGTGCGAATTTGAGTTGGACAATGACCTTCAAAATCCATTACGCCCTGTCGATGAAGACACGCTTAATCTGCCAGAGGATACACTGCAGTCGAACCCGACCTTGGAAGAGCTCACCGAGTCCACCGAGATTCTGAGCAAACCATTGCGGGTGTTGAGGAGCGCGCGAAAGCGTAGGGGAGAGGCCGGCGCCATGCAGGTGTTCGACATTATGAGCCAAGTGCAGGAACAGCTCGCCAACGCGCCAAACCTAGAGATCTTTCTGAAAATTCTGGTGGGCATCGTCAAAGAGTTGACAGGTTTTCATCGCGTCATGATTTACCAGTTCGATTCCATGTTTAACGGCAAGGTGGTCACGGAGCTTGTCGACCCAGCACTCACCAGGGATCTGTACAAGGGACTGCATTTTCCTGCCTCTGACATTCCGAAACAGGCGCGTGAACTGTACAAGCTCAACAAAGTTCGCCTTCTCTATGATCGAGACCTCGAAACGGCCAGAATTGTGTGCCGGTCGATAGAGGACCTCGAAGTGCCCCTGGACATGACCCATTCCTATCTCCGGGCCATGTCACCAATTCATCTCAAATACCTCGCCAACATGGCTGTTCGCTCCTCCATGTCGATATCGACTAATGCCTTTGGCGACCTGTGGGGGCTGATTGCCTGCCACTCGTATGGCCCCAAGGGCATGCGAGTCTCGTTTCCCATCAGGAAGATGTGCCGGCTGGTCGGCGACACAGTTTCGCGCAACATTGAACGCCTCTCCTACGCATCGCGTCTGCAAGCTCGCAAACTGATCAACACGGTGCCCACCGAACACAACCCGTCGGGCTACATCATTGCCTCCTCCGACGACTTGCTCAAGCTCTTCGATGCCGATTTTGGAATGCTTTCTATTCGAGAAGAGACCAAGATTCTAGGAAAGGTTGAGCATTCTCAGGAGGCCCTGGCAATGCTCGAGTATCTCCGGCTTCGGAAATTCACCTCCGTCCTCACCACGCAAGACGTCAAGGTTGACTTTCCCGATTTGCATTACCCGCCCGGGTTTCAGGTCATCGCTGGCCTGCTATACGTCCCCTTGAGCGTCGGCGGCAATGATTTCATCGTTTTCTTCCGCAGGGGCCAGGTCAAGGAAGTCAAGTGGGCGGGAAATCCGTACGAGAAAACCTTTAAAGAAGGGACAGAGGCCTACCTCCAGCCGCGGACGAGTTTCAAGGTGTGGAACGAGACCGTGGTGGGCAAGAGCCGAGACTGGTCTGAGGAACAGGTCGAGACGGCCGCAGTGCTGTGCTTGGTCTACGGCAAGTTCATCGAGGTCTGGCGGCAGAAGGAGGCGGCGCTGCAGAGCAGCCGGCTCACAAGACTCTTGCTGGCAAACTCGGCCCACGAAGTGCGCACGCCGCTCAACGCCATCATTAACTACCTCGAGATCGCGCTGGAAGGCTCCCTGGATCAGGAAACCAGAGACAATCTGTCACGTTCCCACTCGGCGTCAAAGTCGTTGATTTATGTCATCAATGACCTGCTGGATCTCACCAAAACCGAGGAGGGCCAGGAGCTCGTCAAGGACGAGATTTTTGACCTGCCAGCCTGCGTCCGGGAAGGGACGGAGCCCTTCAAAAACGACGCCAGGCGGAAGGGCATTGAATACGAGTTCATCGAGCATCCCGGGCTTCCAAAGTTCGTGTATGGGGACCAACGTCGCGTCCGACAGGCAGTTGCCAACGTGACAGCGAATGCCGTGCAGCACACATCGGCCGGTCATGTCAGGGTCGAGCTGTACCTGGCCGAACTCCTTGGGCGTCGAGTTCGGGTCGAGATCGTGGTGCAGGACACGGGCTCGGGTATGAGCAATACCCAGCTCGATGCCTTGTTTAGAGATCTCGAACAAGTCTCTACGGATGAGGGTGACGATATGTTCAGTCCGCTCGAGGGCGCCCACGACAAGGAAAAGCCGGAAAAGGACAGAACTCTTGGGTTGGGGCTGGCAGTAGTGGCGCGTATCTTGCGAAACATGGACGGCCAACTTCGGCTCAAATCTGAGCCGGGCAAAGGATCTCGCTTTGTTATGCAGTTGCCGTTTGAGCTTCCCGAGGATGCCGCCTCGGCAGACGGGACAGCGACAGCCTTGGGTGCCCTGTCAGAGACTTCCAGAACTGGATCCGTCGCGGCAGCGTCGACACCTCGACCCACCGACGGAGAGGTCATCGTCGTCAACAGGGGAAGCGGCGGATCCACCCATACCAACCAGTCGATATCAGCAAAGAAAAGCTTTGATGACTCCAAAAGCACGCACAGCCACCGTAGCATAGCCAGCAAGAGCAGTGCCAAGAGTGGGATGAGCGACGCCGAACGGTTAATCGATGCTATCCAAACACCCATCACCTGGGGCGAGTTGGACCCTGAATTAGCCAAACAACGACGGAGCTCCCGAGGCGCATATTACAATCCACCAGCACCAGGTACCAAAGACGGCCATGCAACACGCTCTCTGAGCCCTACAGGGCGGGTCAGGCCATCTGAACCTACTCGGTCAGGCTCTTCTCCCACCAACATCAAACAGCAGTCACAACCTCTCACCGAACCCCCTGCCTCTCACGAAAGCCCACCGGGAGTGCGGTTCATCAACGACTCCAGGACCCCGCTGAAACCTGTACGCATACCAGACGAGTACCACGACAAGCCATCGCTGCCTCAGCAGAGCGAGATGTCGGGTATCCTCTTTGAAATACCGCCCACCCCTGACGTTCGAGAGGACACCTGGAAGGTTGCCGCCTCGACGAGTGCGGGCGAGGTTGTTGCCACGCCAGGCTTGGAAGTCCTCGTTGCCGAGGACGATCCGATCAACCTCAAGGTTTTGAGGAAGCGGTTGGAAAAGGCTGGGCACAAGGTTTCCCATGCGCTGAACGGCGAAGATTGCGCGACAATGTATGGGGAGAAACCTAGGGGCTATGATGTGGTGCTCATGGATATGCAGGTATGTTTCTCTCTCTCGTCTTGCCTTGGTCGCAACCCTTTGTTAATAACGAGCAGATGCCCATCGTGGACGGCCTTACTAGCACCAAGATGATCAGGACATTCGAGACATCGAGCAGCCGCCCTCAGCCCCCCGAACTGTCCGCCATTGCGCAGAACCATGGGAGAATACCAATCATTGCGGTCTCGGCGAGCTTGGTGGAGAGGGAAAAGGACACGTATGTTGATGCGGGATTTGACGGGTGGATTCTGAAGCCCATCGACTTCAAGAGGTTGGAGGAGCTGTTGAAGGGGATTGTGGATGATGGGGTGAGGGAGAGGGCGTTGTATGTGCCGGGAGAGTGGGAGAGGGGGGGCTGGTTTGCTGCGAGGAGTGGGCAGCAGGAGGCGATGGTGAATTAGGGGGTCACTACTGCGAAGAGTAGAAGGGGGAGTGGGTACTTTGTCTGGGATTGAGAAAGGTTACGACTGGTGGGATAAGGGGTGTGCTCGGAAGAACGATGTTGTTTGTTGGGTGACCTGAATCATGAGACCTGCTGCCACACTTGGAGGGTAGAAGAACAACGTTTGGAACAGTCCTGGCTTTAGAGGAGGGGAGCGGGAAGCGAGGCGTTTTTTCTTTTGTGTGTGTGTGTGTGTCTGTTTCGAGGATGGGTCACAATAAAGAAGGGGGGGAGGAGTTGGGAAGGATGAAATTGGATTGGGGCTGTTGCTTTTGCCCGATTCAAAAGGCTGATGATACCATTCATATATATTAGCTGATTAAAACCATAAACCTATTACCTACCTATGTGGCCGTGTCTTGTCCAAGAATCTGGGGTTAGTGAAGATTGTCGGAAGATAAAACTGCGGATGGAGTGTAGACACTTGGGCTCTTAGATGACAACTTTATGGTGTGGAAGGTGAGACTGTTGGTTACGGCTGCTGATGCTCGTTCAGTAATCCCCATCTCCCAAATGTTTCCTTTCCACTAGGACCTTAACCATATCACGTCTCTAAAGTCGTATGCTCTCCCTACCCATTGTTTTTTCCCCTCTGAAATTTTCACATCCCAACATACCGTCTTCGGTACCTCTCAGCTCCTTCCCTCCTCATCATCAGGGCACCGCAAGACAGCGGGCAAAACCCCGATTATTTTTCGGCCGGCAGCGGCCTGGACATTCGATATTTTCCGCCTTCTCCCATCTCCATCTCCACGGCCTTGGCTCTGTATTCATCCATCTTTGTCAACTCTGTCGGCTCCTCCCCGAACCGGGCGGCGTCTATTTTATTTTTATTTTTTTTGTTTTGTTCGGGGATGAGTTTTCTGTGGTGGTTGGTTTATTAGTTGAAACGTGAATGGGAAAGAGAGGTAGACTCTTTGCAGAGTCATTTCCAAGCTGCTGGGAGGTGGTGAGTGCCTGTTTGTTTGCCCCTGAGAGGGGGGTGTGATTCATTGTATTGTTGTAGGCTTGGAAGGATGCAACGAGTTGTGTCATGTTGCTAGCATAATCCATAATCAGGTATTCTTGGGGGGAGAGTAAGACGGTGAAGAGGCAATTCATCAAGGGAAGGGAATCCATGATACCCAGCAGACACGTATTTGACCTGACAGTCAGAAGGGTGACTGAGAGCTGAAAAGAATACCAGTACTCTCTCTCCTCGTGTTTGGGATCTGTCACAGCCTCCCTCCTTTCTGTACTTGTAGCAGCAAACTTCATTGAATCCTAGAAAGTGAACTGACTGACGTATGCAGGTTGCGTGACAGCTGCAGTTCTGAACACGACAGAGAGCTATGACTTGATGTCAAGGCGGTGCGGTGCCTCCTCCTCCTCAAACAAAATATTGTCAAAAAAAAAACGCGTCCCAACACGAACACGGGCGGCAATCAATTAAACTCGAAACACCACCAACCCAACCAATCCCCATCGCCCCAAACCACCCCAAGGTGGGGGCAGACAAGGGGGGTTATGCTTATTCCTCACACTGGAACTTGGCTTTGGCAGCTTTGCCCCCCGTTTCAGAATATCAGCGGTCTGGACCACCGGTAGAAGCTGGACCCCTTCTGCAGCATCAGGACCCCGAAAGGTGCTGCTATTCATGCTTGATATATATATATATATATAGAGAGAGAGAGAGAGAGAGAAAGGGAATATCATGTTAACCGCCCGTCATCCTAATATTTGGCAATCTAATATCACCTGCGCCCGCCGTTGAAGTTGCAGTTGCATCGAGATCATCGCTAGCCCGTCGCATCCAAAAGGCAAGGCTTCGTATTTTCGTGCGATGCATTTTGACATTTCGCTTAGGCCTTTTTTGGTACCTTTTTGTGATTCCATCATCAGGGATTTTGTGGTTGTAATCTGCATGCTAATGAACATTGAAGCCTTCCCTCTGACAAACCACATTTTGCATCATTGTCCACCTGGGTGTCGTGACCCTCCTGTTCAACAAAGAATATCAGTGTGTGTGTGAGAAAGAAAGAGAGAGAGAGGGAGAGAGAGAGAGAGAGGCCATCCATGGGAACCCATGTCTGCCCGATTGCGGGGAAAGTGGATTTTCCTCTTTCACAGATGTGGTGGAAGCTTTTGGCCTGTCTCAGATTGTGGCATGTGTACCACTGAACAGAGAGAACCCGGAGCTGTGAATTGGCTGTCAAACTTGTCCCCGCGCCCTGCCTTCATCAGATAGGTGCATTGGGAGGTCGGTGCCACAGACCCAGGTGATTCTTCAAGGTCCTAGTAGGGAGACATACCAAAGCAGGTCCGGAACTTGATAGAACCTGACGGCCTTGTTGACGGGGGGTATCCTATTGTTGTTATATGTGTGGTGGTGGTTGTGGTTGTCTGATGAGGCGCGGCGGCGCGGGCCACGATGATCCGCTTTTTTAGGGGTCACACCCGCCTCACATAATAAACCTTGACATTACTCTTCAGCCGCCTTTTTCCCCTTTTCTTCCTTCTTTCCTTCTCTTCCTCTCCTCCCAGCTTGCTGCGACCACAGAAGTTTTTCTGTTCCACTGCTTCTTCTTCTTCTTCTTCTTCTTCTCTCCTCTCTTCCACACACGAGCACGACAACGCCCCAGCCAGCTTTGCGACAACGCAGCAGCTTTCCTCCATCTTCAACAACAACTGGACCAACATCGTTAGCTGATACTCATCAACCACCGCCATCATGCCTGGAATCCGTAAGTCCCCATCACATTGGTTTTATCTCCTCGATCATCCATCGCGACGGCCCTGCCTGTCCCCCTCGGCCATTTTGATGGCGTTGCCTCGTGTGCGACTATGCTCGGAAGCCATGTGTCGCGTCGGACAAGGCAAGAGAAGCGAGAAGCGAGAAGCGAGAAGCGGCTGGAAAAGAGGAATATCGTGAGCTAACCGCTTTTGGCGCATAAACAGCATTCGGCGCTCTCGACAACCTGAAGGGCAAGCTCAAGGCTGCCTTCAAGAGCCGGGCCGAGAAGAAGGCGAAGAAGGACGCGGAGAAGGCCAAGAAGGACGAGGCGGCCCCGGCGGCCCCGGCTGCTGCTACTGGTGAGAGCAGCACTGCTGCTCCCGCCGCGGCCGCTGGTACCGCTGCCACTGCTGGCACCGAGGCCACCAAGACCGAGACGGCCCCCGCGGCTGCCCCTGTTGAGACTCCGGCTGGTGAGTTGTGTCTGGTTTCGAAAGTCAGGGAACCTTGGAAAAAAAACTAACAAATGATAGCTGCTACTGAAGCTGCTACTGAAGCTGCTCCCGCTGTTGCGGCCCCTGCTGCCGAGGAGAAGAAGGAGGAGGCTCCCGCCCCAGCTGGTTCGTATCTTTGTGACGGCAGAAAGAAAAACAAAAGTTGAGATGTGCTAACATTAAGGTTTAGCTGCCCCCGCTGCTGAGACCACCGCCGCGGCTGCTGCTCCGACAGCTGCCACCGAGCCGACCCCCGCTCCTGCCCCGGCCCCAGTCGCTGCTGAGCCGGCTCCTGCTCCCGCCGTGGAGACCCCTGCTCCCGCTCCCGCTCCCGCTCCCACTCCGGCTGTCGAGGAGAAGAAGAAGGAGGAGGCGGCTGCTGCTCCGGCTGTCGAGGCCACTCCTGCCTCGACTGCTGCTCCTGCTGCGGCTACCACCACCACTACTGCCTAAGCGCCCCTCACCCCCGCTTCCATAACGAAACGAACGAAGTCGACGGCATAACGAAATACGAAAATGACCATGGCTTTGGTTGCGCGGGAAGCTTAGCGATATTGAGTCGAGTTGGGGTTGAATCTTTTGACCCTTTTTTTTTTCTTTTTTTTTTCTTTTGTTTTTCTTGTTTTTTTTCTTCTTTTTTTCTTCTTGTTTTTTTCCTTCTTCTTTTTTTCTTTTTTCTTTCTTTTTTTTGTGTTGCGAGGCGCTTTTGTTGCTTGGGAAAGGGAAACCAACGGTAATGAATTGTCGAACGAGATACCAATTGCTTTTTTTGTTGTTTTTATACTTTTGCTGTTGAAGCAAGGAGGGAGGGGAACCGGGTAGCTGAGACGGTTATGTGTGTATACTGCTTCGATAACCCCCCACCTGCCGGCCGTTAATAATGAATGAGATGGAGTTGGCGTGAGAGCCGCCGCGGTTTTCTCGAAGTGATTCTAGGAGCCAAAAGAGCAGCTGTGCGTATTCCATGGTTGGCACATCTTACTGAATCACAGACTGAAGTCCAAAAAAACAGCCGTCCGAGCAGCTCATTCTCATAGTTCGAGAAACTAGAGGCGATATCCATACGCTACACTTTAAAAAACTAGATATATCCCTCCTTTTCAGCCGACAAGCGAGTAGCCAACCTCTCCAGCAGCCCTCCCCATCTCGACCAACCTCCTCCTCATCCCCTCCGCCGTCTTTCTTTCTTCCCCCTCCCCCAGACAAGAAAAATCGGCCCGCTCAACCCAGCTCCCGACCCCGTGCTGCAGCACATTCCTCGCCCGCTTCTTCATCCCCTCCCCTCCCCCCATCCGCCCTCCCAACCGACCCGTGAAGCGTCACCCGTTGCTTACCCCCCGAAGTACACCCCCCGATGGAGGATGTTGTTATCGTAAAACACCATAATCCCCCGCCTTCTAGCATCCACCACCACTTGCCCCTCCAAATCACCCCCATGAGGATCAGCCTCCTCGCTCCGCTGCCGTTCGCGGCCGCGAATGCGACCCCGGCACCAAAACCAAACTGCTGTCGTCATACAACGGCAAATTCCACTGCGTATGAGAGTACACCTCCCCCGGTTTACACACCCTCTCCCGTTCCTCCTCCTCCGTCGCCGAGGCGGGAATGTCGTCCCTATGCCAGGAGAGCTCGAACCCTTTCCCGTCGCTGGGCCCACACAGCAGGTTGAACAGTTCCATCACCAGGCCGTCAGGCGGAGGGAGGGAGAGGATTTCCCGGGAGAGGGAGAGCAGCGCGGGGGAGAAGTAGAGCTTGACAAAAGCCTCGCGTTGGGAGGGGGGGAGGGGGAGGGAAGGGTGGAGGAGGTGTTGGACGCCCCAGATGCCGGCCGAGTGCGGGACTAGGGAGGGGTCCCAGGGGGGAAATTGTTTGCCTGTGGTGCGGACGTGGGGCCATTGGCCGGCAGAGGAGAGGGAGATGAGAGTGGATGAGGCGGTGCGGAGGGCGGAGAGGGTGGAGGGGGGTAGGAAGGAGGGGATTATCACGTAGCCGTGGGTTGTTAGCCGGGTTAGGGGGGAGGGGTTGGTCATGGTGAGGATGGAAGAGGCGAACAGTGATTGGAAAAGGGGTGGGATAGCAGGGATGGGGTTGTCAAGTGGGGTGGATGGGTGAGGATGCGGGTTAGGTGAGGTTAGAAAGCAGAGTTGGAGATGCGCGGGGGAGGCTGGGGGTTGGGGAAGTTCTTAAGAAGAGAAAGTGTGGGGTAGGTAATGCGCGATGATGCAGGACGAGAATTGCTTGTCAGGAAATGTTCAAAGAATAGAAGGAGAGAGGGAAAGCTTTTTGTGCGGGACTATCCGGGGGCTGTTTGGGGTGGTTTCTGGGGAAGATCCACGCACAAAAGATCCTCGACGGGGCGTACGTATGTATGCTTCAAGGGTGGCTTTCCCATGGCTGCGGTGCTACCCTGAAGCATCCAGTGTCTTCACTTTGATGAAGCACATAGATTTGTACCTCGACATCTCTGGTCGGTGATGGTAAAGGAGGGGCAAGTGTTATAGACGACATAATCCAATTAAAGAAGAGGCACGTGCTTTCGCGACACAGAACACAGAACACGGCACTGCCATGACATCCCCGCTCGTCTGGAATATTCCTCGGATCGCGAACGTCATCGAGCAACCGTCACAAAGCTCAGCTCTTGTTTGGAGAGGAATTGACCCCTAGATCGATTGGCCCTCACAACCCTCATTCGGTTCTTTCTCATATCATTTCAGAATGGTCGGCCGAAAACGCAAATCTGCCACTGCTGCCGCAGTGGAAGAGCCAGTATCAACGTCAAGGCCCCAGCGCGCAGCGTCATCATCCACAGGCAAAACCAGCAAATACTTTGACCCCTCCCCTTCAGACTCCGAATCACCAGACCCCCTCGCCAAAGCCAAGCCAACCGCCCCGAAAAGACGCGGCAGAGGCCGTCCACCAAAGAAAGCCAAGAAGCAGCTCGAACCTGAATCTGATCCAGACGACGACAACGAGTTCAAAGACAACCCCCAAGAGGAAGCCAAACCAGAATCAGACTCCGACTCCGACTCCGACTCCGACTCCGACTCCGACTCCGACGCCCCCCCAAAAGTGACATACACCCCTCTCCCCACCCTCCGCCCCGAAGGCACCACCCCCTACCGTCCCCACGCCCTCCACCCCAACACCCTCCTCTTCCTCTCGGACCTCAAAGCCAACAACAAGCGCTCCTGGCTCAAGCTCCACGACAAGGAGTACCGCCGCGCTCTCGCCGACTGGGAGTCTTACGTCACCTGCTTGACCGAAAAAATCACCTCGCTCGACCCTACCGTGCCTGAGCTCCCTTTTAAGGACGTCAACTTTAGAATTTACCGGGATGTTCGTTTCAGTAACGACCCCACACCTTACAAGCCTCACTTCTCGGCTGCATTCAGCAGGACAGGTCGTAAGGGCCCCTATGCGTGTTATTATGTTCACGTGGAACCTGGTGGGAACAGTTTTGTGGGTGGGGGGCTGTGGCATCCTGACGGGGCCGCTTTGGGGAGGCTGAGGGCTAGTGTTGATGAGCGGCCTGATCGATGGAGGAGGGCGCTCACCGAACCGGCATTTAGGCGGATTTTCCTCCTACAAGGGGAAAAGAAGGGCAGGGGAAAGGGGAAGAAAAATCGGGAAGAGGAGGAACAAGACGCAATGGCGGCGTACGCCGAGATGAACAGAGGGAACGCGCTCAAGACCAGGCCGAAGGGGTTTCATCCCGAGCATAGGGATATGCGGCTGCTCAAGTTGAGGAATCATACTGTTTGGAAGAAGGTGGATGATGGGGTTTGGACGAGGGAGGGGGGCTTGGAAGGGGAGGTGATGGATGTAGTGGGGGGGATGGTTGGGTTTGTGACGCATTTGAACAGGATTGTGATGCCTGATCCGGGGGATGAGGATGATAGTGAGGACGAGGAGGAGGAGGAGTGAGTTTTGCTGGAGGGTCGGTTGGGAAAGCAACTGGCTCTGGGTTTGTTGTCTGTATACTATTGTCACGGCACCAAAGCGAGGCTCAGAGGAGAACAGGGTGTGGGGCTCAGGAGGAGCAGCGCCGCTTCGGCTGTATTTAGACACCGCTTCGTAGGGAGCTTTGGTCCCCTTTTCCTTTCCCTCGCGCAATAACAAGACACTTACCTTAGTCCTTGGTCGGCACTGTGACAACTATTTCATTTTTTTATTTATTTTTAATTTTTATTTATTTGTTTATTTATTTTATTTTATTTTATTTATTTATTGATTTTTTATTTTTTTTATATATTTATTTTTTATTTTATTTATCTATTTTATTTAAATTTTTTGTTTTTATATATATATATTTTTTATATATATATTTTTATATATATATATATTTTTCTGCTTGAGTTGCTGTTCTGGATATCTTTCGGCTGGTGATTTAGCAAGGATACCCAGCTTGATACACGCGCAACTTACTGTTTTTGGTTTCTGGCACTTTTGTTCTACAAGCAGAATCAAGGTTGGGAAAAGTCAGTATGATGTATTCCAATTTATGTCATCCAACTCCAGCATCAACATCAAACTTACCTCCCACCCCCAGCTCCAGCGTTGAAAATCTACCTCCCTTTACCAACCCCTCGACCCCCAAACCCCCCTACATGATCTCTATGCAAACTAAGCCCTATAAACCCCAACATTACTCGCAAAAGTGTTCCTGTTCTCCGCCCACCCACTGCCCCCCACCATCCCCCCATCCCTCGTCACCATCTCCCTCGTCCCGATCGTGTTGAGGTTATAAACCGCCACATTCTCCGCCCTCCCCTCCACGCTCGTGATCCTCTGCTGGCACGTCTGCCCCGCATCAAACGTGCTGCAAGCCGTGGAGTAATTATCAAAGAAAGAATACAACCCCGCCCCGTAAACCAACACATTCCTGCTGCTCATCACCCTCAATCCCCACGCCGCCGGGCAGTTCCCCGCGATCCCCACACATTGAGCGCGGTAGTCGGGGTCGGAGTACTTCGCCACGGGCGGGAACGGAACAAGGGAGTTGGGAACGGGAGCGAAATAAGGCGACTCGGTCTGGATCTGGCCGAGGAAGATGTCCGAGGTGGAGGTGAGCTGGTATTGGTAGAGGACGTGGTGTTCTGAGCCTGTCCCCCAGAGCCAGAGGGGGCCGGTGGTGGATTCGATTACTTTTTTGTTGTCAGCAACACACAATCCAACAGCGTACAGATGAGGAGACCTTACGCAGTCCACGACCAGTATAAATCGTAATCTGAGTGTTCAACTGCTCATCGATATCGTGATCCGCCGTCCTATCATCATCGCCATCTCAGTCAGCATTTATCGCCCCTTGACGGTAGGAAGGTAGGTAGGAAGGTAGGTAGGAAGGTAGGTAGGAAGGTAAGTAGGTAGGTAGGTAGGTAGGTGGGTGGGTAGGTAGGTAGGTGGGTCGGTGTGTGCTCACCACAGCCAAACATTCTCCATGTACAACCCCCTCGCCCCCTTGGTGACATGCATCGCCATGAACGCCACAACACAGTTCCGATCGACACTCCCATTCCCCGGCTTCTTCAAACACTGCCCAATCTGCTGCTGCGTGCCCGTAAACCCCCCAATCCGCACGTGCACATCCCACATGCCACTCGGCTGGCCCCCATTGGTGGCAAGGTTATACTCTATGCAAATCGCCCCAGCCTGCGCATTCTGCGTGGCGACGATGAAATCACTCAGCTCGACATACCCCTGCTGACCAGACGTCGTCCCCACCTGAACAACAGGCCGGGGGTTGCTCATGTCGTTAAAGTAACCACCAGAAGATAAAATAACAGGGTAGGCCTCCCCGACGATCTTGGCAGAGGGGGGGATGACGATGGTGGAAGTGACGCGGTAGAGGCCGTGGTCGAGAAGCAAAATCTTGTTCTGGGCAACGGCCGTGTTGATTGCGTTTTGGAGAGCGGATGTGTCGTCGGCTGCCGCGTCGCCTCTGGCGCCAAAGGCGCGGACCGAGAGGAACGACGAGGCGGGGACGGATTCGTATTGGGGTTTGGACCGGACGTAGTACCGCCCGTCGGAGGTCAGGAGGGAGGCAGGGCGTGGGTTGGGGTTGATCGGTCCCGAGAAACGGGGGGCGTTGGTGCCGCGGTCGAGGAGGTGGCCTAGGGCCCAGGCTGGGATCGTAGTTGAGCCTGATGTGCCGCCGAGCATGGTCCCGCTTGGGCCTTGGACTGCGACGGCGACGTTGTTGAGTTGGATGTTCTCGATGACGAGACTTCCCCCAGTTGGGGGGTTGGCGGAGGGTGTCCAGGCCGTCTTGATGGCGACCGGGGTGTTGCTGAAGGTGCTGTCAAAGAGGGTGACGGAGCCAACGTTGATGTTGCTTGGACCGCCGGCAGAAAGGTCAAGACCGACACCGCAGTTGTTGATGGACAGCCCATGGTATGTCCAGCCCCAGTTCCAGATCTGGATGATGGCCGTCTTGCAATTGTTGAATTTCATGTTCCGCATCGTGTATTGCTGGTTGCCCATGCTGGCACCGGTAGCGCCGCCGTTGAAAGTGAGATCGGCCATCATGCCTCCGCTACCCTCCTCGATAAACAGACCAACGTGGACGACGTCGGGCGTGGATGGCATGTTGAACACGATGTTCTGCAGACTGGTCGCCTGAGAGGTAGGCCAGTGCATGCCTGTTGCTGCCCTCCCCGGGGCGATGGCAGTGGTGTCGATGACAAAGTTGCGGACCTGGCGGAAGAAGACATTGACCGCCTTCCAGTTGAGAACCTCGGTGTAGTACGGGTTGCCGTCGATCAGCCCGAACCCCTGGAAGTTGGCCGTGGCCTTGAGGGTAGGTGGAGCGGAAGCATCCCCGACAAGATGGGTGAAGTACGCTGGCAGGATCGAGGAAGAGATGAGGTAGGTGCCTGCCGGGAAGTAAACAATTGCAGGAGTTGTGGTAGTGGATGCCTTTCTTGTGTGTTAGCATTGCTTCCTCGGAGCGTAGGCCCGCAACAGTTCGACATACACATCCCCTGTTGCAAGGATTCCCAGCATTGATGGCAGCATTGATAGCAGCAGTATCGTCAGTTATTCCATCACCTGTTGTTAACAACACGAATTAGCTTTCCGTCTCTTCTGGCAACTTCAAGATGTCTTACCCCTGGCGCCATAGTCCCTCACATTGCGGAAGACTGGATAGTTTGGCTGAGCAAACGGCGCAATGCCTCGATCTGCCTCGCAGGTTAGCAGCCGTCCTCAACCTGATCAGAACAGATAAAGAGAAGCTCACGAGGAATATCTCCAAGCCAAAAAGCCTGCACCGCCGAAGCAGCAGTGGCAACAGCCACCAACAACGAGCTGAAACGCATGACAAGCAACAACACCTATCGTCCGCCGGTGCGTGGAGGAGAAGCGGAAATGAAAAGTCTGTCCTGCCCTTACTTCCGATTAACTTTTATATATGTCCACAGAGGCTAATTGCCGTGGTTGACAAAAGTGAAACCTTGTTTCTCGTCATTCCCCGGTTGGCCAGTCTCAGGGGTAATCATACCTTCAGCATTCCGGGGAGCCGGGACAAGACACAACAACCTGGCCTTGCTGAGCCCGTGAAACAAAACACCAACGCACACGTGCATGGTTCTGAGATGGTGGGGAAGAGGAGAAAGTGACGATGTTGTGTTCCAATACCAAAGCCCTCGGGGCCAGCCACCTCAGCCATGGATGGATGGTGACGACGCTAGTCAATGCCACACGGTACCGGGCAAAAGCAACATGTGTCTGTGATTTTCCGTGTAGTTTGTTCCCGAGTGCCCCTTGATGACTGTCTCATGTAACCATGACCTCCGGCAAGCCAAGCTTCAGTCATGCCATCAACTGAGATGTGAGGTTACCGCCAGGCCACCGCCCGACCCCGAATGAACACGTACGCGGGCGCCATACCGGTGTATATCCCAAAAACAACCATCAACCCCGATTATGTCTTGCGATTGATGTCTGAGGAACTTTGATACTGGCACTTGTTCCATCGAAGGGAGCATGAACGAAGTCAAATCATTGGACGGAATTCCTGGCCATGATCCGGCCCGTCGTCGGTTGCTCCGCCCGCATTACCCGAGTACATAATCGATACTCCCGCGTGAACAAGCCATTTTCGATTGCTGAGCATGTTTCCATGTTTCTTCATGAAAGAAACAGAGGTAAAAAGCGATAGCTCAGTCGAGTACGGCATGCCTCACGGCTGAGGGTGTTGGGAATAACGGCAGGTGAGCGAGCTCAAAGGCATCCTGTGATGTTGGTCCGTCTCGATCCAGATGCAGTCTCCTCGGGACTTCCCAAGACAAGGCGCGGCAAAATGCGGAAAGAAGCGAATGGTCTGGGGTTAAGAAATGGATATGATGGGAGACGTTCAACTAGATGAAGGGGTCAACTACAACCCCTGGTCCGGGCCGCAGCATTTGATTCGCTCGGCCGGCCGAACTTCCCAGCTAGAGACGAAGGTGAATGCAAGAAATAAGGCCGGATACTACCAGCCAGAAGGCCCCGGGTGACCTGAACAGACATGTGGGGAGTCGATCAAAAACCCCTTCTCGAGAGCTAAGGAGTTCTGTTCTGGTTACGTCTGACCTGTCCAGGTAGCTTACCAAGTTAGTAAGGTAGCACGATGTGTAGGTAAAGTTACTTGGGAGTGTTACACCAAATGAACACTACCTGTCAGCTTTTGCTGCAAAAAGATTCCTGCAGAGTAGGAGGTGTAGATGCCCAAATGACCTCGATGATCTCCTGAGACAGGAAATCTCAGGTTCGCGGCGGGAATAGGTCCAGTGGCTTTGTCATCCCCCACTGTTACGGACCGTCGTCGGCGTATTTTTTTATTTTTATTTTTCAGCCTGAGGCTCACATTTCGATCCGAGGCTCTGCGACATTTTCACATGGCTCTTTCTTGCTTAGCAAAATGCTCATGGCCGATGAGGTTATCGGCCGAAGCCTTCTCCCCTCCTCGTCCGGAGATCATCCAGCTGTCTTAACCAGAGATACTTGCAAACCCCTGGTCATTGCAGGACTAATGTCTCCTGATAATCCAAACGAACCGAGCAACAGGCCGTGGGTGCTGAATAGCCATGTTGGACTTGTTGAAATCCTGGGTAGTCAACGACATATGACGAGTCCAGCTTCGGATAACCCTAATCGCATCCCCAGATCAGGCTTGCCGCGTGACGGAAGTAAACACCGAGATGTATGCATCATCTCATCTATGGGAAGAGGGGGAATGTGGTCAGGCCGTCCCGAGATGGTGTTGTGCGTGATGTTGACTCCATTGCATAGGTCGGTAGTTAGCGTGCTTCCCCCCCCCCCTTCTCTCTCTCTCTCTCTCTCTCTCTCTCTCTCTCTCTCTCTCTCTCTCTCTCTCTCTCTCTCTCTCAACCCATGAGCTTGGGCATCAACCTATGATCAACGAGCACCCCCTCAGGCCCTGGATGCTGAGCAAGCCGTGGGGGAAAGAGGAGGTCTGTGTTCTCACAGGTGTCACACGCTCTGAGAAGGGGCTGTTTTGTCATGGATACACCACCAGTGAGGCCGGGAAGCTATCATCCACCTGGCGATATTCGGCTCACGACCGGCGGCGGCAGGCAGACAGTCTTGGGCCTCCAGACGCAGTGCATTTTGCCTATTTTCAAAGACGCAGGCGACATATTGGATGCGATAGTAGGCTCAATACCTGGGGAAGACGTCGGGTGTAGGCGAGGTGTTACTATCGGTGCAGATTCCCCATGCTTCTCCAACCCACACACGCCGCGTACACTTTTGTTGCCGCCGTCAAGATAGTCCAGTACGTAGTCTGTCCAGGTATCTATACTCACATGCGTCTTGCTGATCTGAACCTCTTGAACCTGCCGCCCCTGGCTGCTCCAGCTGTTCGGCGCGGTCAAGGTCCGGGACGGGCAACCGGCCATATCATAATGTCCAGGAGTTTTCAGGGTCGGAAGAAAGGATGTTTTTCGTTGTTAACAAAGAGAGGCCAGTGACGAGATGAGCGACGGTATTTCATGTTCCGCACCACAATCAGACGAAGGGCGGTGAAGTTGATGAGGGCTTCATCCCGCCAGGCCAGGCACGTCCAAGTTTCTCTCCCGTTTCTCCGCATTTTGCGAGCGGATTTCGCGGGGCCCCGCACTGATAATCCGGAGCGAACAGGGGGGTTGAATTCTCCAAGCGTTTTCCCCAAAGTGGCGCCCGCCTCCACACCTCCAACACCTGCTGACGTCGAGACCAAGGTACTCCGCGTTTGTGAACGTTGGGATCCTCCGAGAGAGATTTGTTTGGGGATCTTGGGATATCATGTGAAAGTTGACTTGATGATTCTCGTGTTCGAGATAGTTCGCCATACCTTGGTATGTCTCTGTCGTTTAGCAGCTCCGCTGGATCTACAATCCTGACTTAGACATCCCCACGACCTCGGACAAGACTGGTAAAGTTTGAGCTCCGAAAACTGACCAGCAGGAGGTTGGAAAACGGTTCCTCGGTTCCGTGGCTTTCAGATGTTTGGTGCTTTGGTTGAGATGCACCCCGCTTTCTAGTGTAACACCCACAGAGCTCGGCTCTTTCCCCCGTCGAGGGTACCGTCAATGGGACTGTCATGATGCGCTTTGTTGCGGGTGGTTCGCTGCAAGATGATCAGGCAAAGCCTGCTTTCATCGACAAGACTGGGAACAGGGCAGCGGTTCGTTGGGAAAGATTGACGTAGGCATAATGCAGAGTTCGAGTCTGGAGAGAAGGAGGTCTGAGCCCTGGGAGACGCGACAGAAAAGAGACTGAAAAGCAATGATACAAAGAGTATCGACAAATAAGAACGATGGGAATACCCGGTGTGCTATCCTCAATAGATCCCCTCAGCTGTGTTCGAGAACAATTTTTTTGGGGGTGGATTGGGTGAGAAGATGAGATGAGATGGCGTCGCGGGGCTACAGCGGGTCAGAAATCTTGGCAGCTGTTGAATGCGGAGATGAGAGAGAGCACAGACCACTCGGTGCACCAAACACCCACATTTCCCCAGATTTCTCTTTGAGTCCCGCAAAACAACTTCCAGCTGGGCTGAAGGTGCCGTCATCCTGAGCAATCAGCTACCTAGGTACTCATGCTATCTGTAGCTGTTAGGTGGCTGTATCTATCTGTAGATAAGCATTGAGCTGGCTAGCTATAGCTGAAATCATGCCATGTCATGTACTGTCAATTACCATCAGATGCTGCTTTGACATGTCCACCTAGTGTAGGTCATCTCTGTCACAGACGGTTGGAGCCCAGAAAAGGGAAGCTGGTCGCGCCGCCGCCGTTCTCCTCTTTGCGGCAGCTCCTCTTTGCAGCTCCTCCCCACACTCCGTTTCTTCCGACTACCGAAGTCCCTCTTTTTCCCCGCCTCCGCGTTTTTGTTGGCGCTGGAAACGCACCTCTCCCGCCCCCCTGCCTCGCTTGTTGCTTGTGTGCCTGGACCTGATCTTCCATCGTTGTTTGTGTCTTTTTTCTCCGCTTCTGTCTCTCTCCACGTCTCTCCATCTCACTCAGGAGACCTTACCCATCCATCCCTCCATCCATCCAAACCCTCCAAGCAGCTACAACAATCTTGACATTCACCTTTATCCAATCCAGGATTGCGCCACAGGAGGAGGAGAAACGGTACACCCACGAGCGAGTCAGGCCCACCGCTCCCGCACACCGTCTCAGTTCCCAGCTCGACTTCTCGCCCACCCCCGCAATCTCTGCGGAACTGTTGCCTTGTCGTCATCTGACGTCGGACTGCTCCAAGGCCTGCTTTGTCTTTGAAGATTGAAGCGTGGTGATTTCTCAGGGATCAGAGAGGGGTGACGTCCAGCCAGCAAGCAAGCAACCAGTCAGGATTCAGGGGAGAGCATCTGGCTGATATCTTACCGACACCGCACAACACACAAGCAACAGGACCAAGCATGTCTTGTGCTGCTTGATCCAGATCCAGATCCAGATCCAGATCCGGCCAACACATTCCTGTCCCTCCCCTCACGCCGACACAGACACGGCACCGGCACCCCGCAAACCTCGCCGTCTAATTATTTGGCCCCAGCTCCCCCTTCCCACCGCCCCCCTCTTCTTCCCCCTTTCCCCCTCCCCCACACCCTCCAGTCTTTGTGGCTTTCTCCTCCCTCTCCACCGGGCCTGCTGTATACAGTACAAGCTGTCTGTACCTTCACGCCATGCGCCCCCTACAATCCATCGAGACTCCCGCCCCAGCCACTGCCGACGAGAATGGGGAAACCCGGCAGCAGAAGCCCAAGACGCTGCCGTGCAAGTACTGTAGCAAATGCTTCAGGTCGGTACCGCTCTACCTGGGACCTAACAAGTGTCGCATATTGACTTACGTTACCTTCTGTATTAGGCGCGTGGAACATGTTCAGAGGCACGAAAGGACTCACACCAAGGAAAAGCCCTTTTCCTGCGAGTGGCCTAGGTGTGGAAAGCACTTTGGACGACGGTAAGCTGCTCACTATCTTTTATCCCACTATTCAGGACCCCTCAGTTTGGCTGCTTGGTAGCTTCTGCTGGGCCGCTGTCCTGGTGACCTCGCTCGTATGCTTCTGTTGCCGCAACTGCATGCGTTTGGCGCGCGTGGGACGTGGGTTCACACTACCCCCCTCAGCACCCCCGTGCCCCATGCCCCATGCCCCATGCCCCATGCCCCATGCTCCATGCTCCATGCTCCATGCTCCATGCTCCATGCCCTATGCCCTTCAGGTCACCTCCCAGTCTCAACATCACCGCATCGTGTCTGCCCCGTCGGCGTCGCACCGACCTGCCTCCCGTCTTCGAGAAAGCATAGCATACTGACATGGACATCAGAGATTTGCTCTCCCGTCACCATAAGCTTGTCCATTCCAACGAGGCGGCTAGCAACAAAGATGGCGGTGGCCACAGACCGCGGAAGCCCTCGACGGCGGGCGCTGGCATGGGACCTGTTGATGACCATGGTGATGTCAAGATGCTCGGTATGCAACCGCAACCGCAGCAGCAGCAGCAGCAACCGCAACCACCACCGCATCAAATGTATCGACAGGAAGTCTTGCAGCCTACCGTTGTCGCGCCGATCGCCCCTGACCCGCGCATGTCAGCGCGGGCGCCAGCCTGCAATCTCGACCTCTTATCTGACGCAGCTACGCATCTTGCTTCGGCCGGCGAAGTCAGCAACATGCAGCCATCCATGATGTCCGGCATCTCGGACCACCAGCCGCCTCCGCCGCCGCTTGCTCCGGTGAAAACATATCACGACAGTAACCCTTACGGGGATCGTGTTCGGGAGCAGGACCCGGGTGTCATGTCTGGTGTATACCAGACCCAGCCGGCCCCTTTTGAGGATTACAATTTGTTTTTGGATGATTATGGGACGCAGCATTTCCTCCCACCAGGGCTCGAAATGGACCAAGGTTTCGGATCGTGGTCTCGTCTAGGGGGCGACATGCGTGGGCCGTCGAAGCCTGCTTCTGCCTTCCCGTCTCGATTCCCGTCACTGCAGCCTGATGCCCGAGATCCAAATGACGGTTCAAGGATGCATGAAGATGGGATGCAGGCTCCCAACTGGAGAATTGCCGGAGCGAATCATATCGCCGTCAAAAACAGGCTGGATGAGTTTTCGTCGGTGCTTCCCAACGACTTTGTGTTTCCATCTCGACATACTCTCAACAGGTTTCTCGACGGATACATCAGTGGGTTCCATGAACACCTACCTTTTCTCCATTTACCAAGCCTGGCACCCATAGATTTGGCACCCGAGCTCTTGCTGGCCGTCCTTGCGGTGGGAGCTCAGTACCGTTTTGAAACAAACCGCGGCCATGCCCTGTGGTATGCTGCAAAGGCTGTGGCCCTGGAACAGATTCGCCGAAGACATAGCCATGAGGTACATGGATTGCTTCCGACACCAGCCGCCTACAGCCCGCACTCGACTCGACCCTCCCCAAGCTCCGGTTTCAGGCACTCGTTTCCGTCAGTACATCAAGACCGCCCCATGACTCAGGAGACGCACAGAGAGCCTTAGTAATGATCCCTTCCCTGCATCTGGTCTGAAGTTTGCTAACAAACACTCCAGTTCTCCAAACACTCCACACGCCCGTCTTGAGACCATCCAAGCCATCCTTTTGCTGTTTTCGGTTGGGCTCTGGGGCCCCAAAGCCATCCTCCAGGAAGCCCTTGGCTTGCAGAGCCAACTCGCTGTGCTAGTCCGGGAGGAGGGACTGGTCGGGGAGTCTAACCAACAGACAGTTGACCACGAGACCTGGGTCCGACATGAATCGGCCACTCGCACGAAGCTTGTCGCATTTTGCTTCTTCAATCTCTGCAGCATCGCTTACAACACCCCGCCAATGTTACTAACATCCGATGTTCACCTCTTCCTGCCCAGCCCGTCTCGACTATGGAGGGCAGAGACAAGCTGGCAGTGGCAAGAAGCACGCCAGACCTGCCAATTTGTCGACATCACCCTGCAAGACGCGTTTATGAGGCTTCTCAACCGCTCGTCTCAAGTTCCACCTCCACCGCTTACCTCGCTCGGAAACTATGTTCTCATCCACGCCCTCATTCAGCATATCTTCCTTCTCAAGCAGACATCGTTTACCAGCCTCTCGCCATACGACTTTCGACGGGGGATGAAGCCGGAAGACGTCGAAGACGTTACTCACGCTTTGCGGGTGTGGCAGACCGGAGTAGAGCAGCATCGGCAGATTAGGGCGAACGAATCAGGAGGACCGGCATCGGCAGACAACTTTTCTGGCGGACCAGTGGCTTTCAACTCGGCAGCGCTGTTGAGGCTGGCGTACATCAGGCTTTACACCGACTTGAGCCCCAGCCGGAGTCTGGAGACGAGGGATCATGTGTTGATTGCGTCAGCGTTCAGTGACGCACCGCTGTTGGTGAGAAACAAGAGGCTGAACGGAGCGGTGGTACCGGCTGTGCATGCGCTGGCCCATTTGGTGAAGGTAGGGGTGAACTATGTGGCGAGGACGAAGAGTTTGGAGTGGAGCATGCAGCATTCTTGTAGGTGTTTCTTCGGTTTGACTCTGATATGAAGTGGTACTAACCGAGTGGAATAGTGTGCAATCTCGAATGCGCCATCCTTCTTTCCAAGTGGCTCTTGACGCTCTCCGCCATAGGCCCGGCCGACCAACCTCTGTCAGTGGAGGAGAAACATGTTTTGGACATGGTTTGCCGGATGCTCGACGAGACAGAATTCGCCGTGCCGATTGATCCTTCGTTGGGTGGCGGGAATGGGGGAGCTTCGTCGTCGGCTAATCACCACGGCGGGGGCCATCACCAGTCCCGTTCGATCGACATGAATGCTTCTGCTTCGACGGATAGCACAAAGCTTCGACAGTTAGCTTGTGCGGTAGTGAGGCTGTGGGCGGAAACGTTCAAGGGGGCGCATATCTTTGAGATTTTGAGGATTATGGCGGCGGGGCTGGACGGGTATGGGGATATGATTGAGAAACCAAGGGATCGGACACCGTTGGGAAAGTTTGTGGGTGGTCAGGGCTTGGGGTGAGAGGATAGGAGGGGTCGATGAGTGTTGAAGGGACGCCACGTTGGTGGTTAACTAGGAGGAAGCCGCCCGTTGGAGGAGGCGAAGCCGAGCCGGGTCTGTCAAATTTCCAACAACGACGCATTTACCGGTAATGTGGAAGTCGAGAAATGGTTGAATGTGGCCAAGCTGGATGGCGACGAGATATCGGGCCCTATCGCCCTCCATGGCACGACCTTTTTGGCATTGCTGCTACACCGTCTTTGCCTAGCGGAAGGGGGCATGCTAGAGCCGGTTGTGGAGGGCTTTTGGCAGGGAGTAAACGGACTTGGTTGATGCCGATTCGGGAGAAGGCGAGAATTGTGAAGACGTGGGTGAGATGACAGGGAACAATGGCTTGGTGTAGTGCGAGAGCTCGCTGAGTTGCTGATACCACTGCTGTTGTTTCGAGGAGACTGACATTCGAATCGCGATGGCTAATGGGCATATGCCTGTTTGTCGTTCAAGCATTTTGCACACATATCCATCCTATTATCTATATACCATGAATTCAAATCTTGGGAAGACGCATTTTGTTACATTCCGACTGAGAAGGCCGAGGCTCAACCAAGCTGGGAAATCCACTGGGCTGGTTGTCAACCCTATCTTGATCGATGACATTACGGAGATGCCCCTTCTTCAGTCACAGTTGCAATTTTCTTCCCAACTTTTTGCTCAACAACCCTGTGCTTTGTCCTTCCAGGGTGAGTTCCCCACCACAGACACCAAGACCATCAAACTGACAAACAGCAAAAACAACAACAATAACAACAAGGTGATTCCTTTACCTGTTCTCTTATGATTGTCTGTTCGAACAACGAAAAAAGAATTTGGCACTAGCGACATAGGGGTAACCGCCGGAGAGGATCTTCATCAAATCACCAAACAAAAGCCCGCATGGCTCAGTGGTAGAGCGCATCACTAGTAATGATGAGGTCGTCAGTTCGATTCTGGCTGTGGGCATCATAACTCTATCTTTCGACTGGGAAGTCACACATTTCTTTTGCTCAGAATAACAATTGTTCTGACCATTTTTATCCCCCCTTCTTTTTCGTTCCTTTATATAGCATAACATTCTCACGGAAAACACTATTGCAATGATCACAGCATTCCAAAACATACGATTTTGTCTACGCAAATTATCAAAATTCAAACCCCCTTTTTGGGTGTGCTTTCTAGCCTCTTTGTGCGAATCTGTATCTCTAGATGTATTGTGTATGTACAGGAAAATTGTATGAAAATATGGGCAGTTGGTAAAAACTATTGCGCCCGCCACCACCGTTTGCCGCTTGCCGCCCTGGGGGTATCTATCATCCCTTTTTCATTCTCCGTTTTTTGAACTCATAGCGCTGCGTGCGTGCTTCACAAAAAGACCAGTTTAAAGACCCTTGGCCTCCCTCATGTTGCGGAAAAAGTCCATCACCCCAGTGTACACGACCAGGAGGATACCGCCGCCAGGGCCGAGACGGAGAACCTTGGGAACAAAGCCCTTGTACAGAGCGCCGAACCCTTCCTCCTTGGCGATGGTGGCGACGCCGGGCCAGGCCCAGTTGTACTTTGGCGTCTGGCCGGCGACCTTGACGGTGTTTTGGATCCTGGACTTGACGACGTCCATGGGGGTGTTGAGGATGGTGCCGACGGTGCCGCCGACGGAGCCGGCGATGATGTCGTTTGTCATCTGGCCCTGCTTCGTCTCGGCCTTTGGGATGAGCTGGCGGACCTGGAAGATGCAGCCAAAGTAGCCGGCGTTCCAGAGGATGTGGCGCCAGAGGGTGGACTCGAGGCCGTTGTACATGGCGAGGATGCCCTCGTTGCGGACCGTCTTCACGACGACGTCGATCATGCCGTTGTACCGGCCGGCCGAGGCCTTGTCTTGGAGGCGGATCTTGACGAGCTCGAAGGGGACGACGACGAAGGACTCGGTGGCGCCGGCGGAGGCGCCGGTGAGGACGGAGAGGGATTGGGTCATTTGGGTTTGGCCGAAGAGCTCACGGTAGAACTTGCCCCACTTGTCGTTGGCGGCGAACTTGGTGGCGCGCTTCGGGGCCTCCATGAGGATGGGGGCGGTGATGCCGCGGTAGAGGCGGGAGAAGCTGGGGAGAGGGGGGGGTGTTAACGGGGTCTGGTCATGGTGTCTTCTCATTATGAAAAAGAACTTGGCGCATACCCCTCGTTGCGGATGATCTTGGAGAAGCAGTCGAACATGCCATTGTAGGTGTCGGCGCCGGCGGCGGCCTTGCCGGTTTGGAGTTGTCTGATCCTCTCTTGTCAGCTTGCCGGGCAGGATTGGTGTCGTATATGTGTATGCTTGGTCTTACACTCTGGTCTTGACAACGTCAAGGGGGTACCTGGGGAAGTAGGGCGGCGGTTAGCATCGTGGGGCACGCGAGCAGCAGGCGTCAGAGCAACTTACATGACCAAAATCTATGTGTGCTTGCATGTTAGCAGGCCAAATGACTAGAGTATGGTTTGTTACAACAACTTGCCTCCGACACGCCGGCGATGGCGCCTGTGGTGGGCAGTCATGGTCAGCATCTCTCGGTCTTGGGTCTTGGCTGAGTTGTTTTTGGCGGATGGGCCGGACGGCAGCAGCAACTCACCAGCCATGAAGGTGTAGACAAACGGGAGGGGGGCCTTTTCGGACGCCATTGTGGAGATGTGTTGGGGGTGGACGGTGGTGCGGGAACGGCTGCAGGCTGGCTACGAGTGAAAGGGAAAAAATAAAAAAAGGGTATCACGAAGAAATGTGAAGCGAAAAAAAAAGGTGTCGTTGACTGCCACTACAACCCGAACTCAGTAACCGACCGGAGAGCGCTACACGCAACGCCGAAGTTTGGTTCTGGATGCGGCGGGCTGCCACCCCACATTTTCACAGCCAAACCCACGCGGGGGGAACGACATCGGAGGCTCATCCCAGCCTCACATCGCGACAGGGGGGTTTGGATGTTTGGTGGGATTACCTAATGTTGAACTGTTTTCGAGTGACCCATATAACCTGATCTATGTTTTGACTACCGGCATAGAATAATGTCATATATCTCTAAGCTATCGTCAAGGGAAGAGGCTGAATGCATCGGATCGTCTGCATTTCTCTGCTGCATTCAGTGACACCGCAGGGCTGGGACATCCATCAGCCATTGGATTGGATCAGCCATCAGCACAGACCTCATCACCCAAAGCTCCCCCAGCTCCCACAAGCGCCATCAAGAATGCCCCGCCAGACTAGATCTTGACATGCATGGATAAGAACCGACAAGTTGGTGGACCAGCCGCACGTTTCCAATGCTACAGACCGACAGGCATAGGTTAGTACCAGCAGTGATTACCTATTGTAGTGGTTGCAGGCTCTTGATGGCGAGAGCTTGGAACATGACCCTGAAGCATGGCACCCGATTGGCTGGATAGCGGCGCATTCCCGACCAGGGGGCTGCCCGGCACTGGCGCGGGGTTATCAAGATGATGGTTGCGCACACGATTCACGGAGGCATTATTCCCCAGCAATTTGCCATTTGTCATCTCCTTTTCCTAGACACCTCGTAGCCACCGCGTCGCCGACTCCTATTTTCGACCAGACACTCACCGAATTCGAGAGCCACTGCACCAGACATCGACATACTCGACCCTTATCGCACCCGCGCGTCCCATATCTGACCGAGCTCCCAAAGTATCCGCGTCATTGCGCCGAAGTTGCCACTTGCAACGAAATTCTCACTCAGCATTGTGTTTCTGACGAGGGCCATTGACCGAGACATCAACGCACGTTTCCGGGGGACGTCTTTCTTGCGCTTCTACACAGCACCTTTAAAAAAGCCGTGATCCACAGAGACCACAGCGAGGTGCGCAAACATCGAAGCGCCTGGAGGACTCTCGCGGCCGGCCTCAGCCATCATCGACTGCTAATGACTCATCTCTTGTGGAAATCCTACTGGGAAGACGATATCGACAAGTTTCGACGCCTCCTCTCGCCCGCCGGCCACGGCGCTCAGAATGCCGCGCGGAGTTCGAACATAGGGGCTGCGGGGAGTCCTGGCCATGGCCATGGCACGCCACCGAGACCGACTCCAAAGTCGCGCAAGACTCAGGGGCATGGGAATGGATCGCTTGGTCGGAACGAAGTCAACAGCCGTGACCATGCCGGTCTGACGATATTGCTGCGCGCAGCCTCCTCGACCGCCGAAAACGCCGTTTCTTTTGTCGAAGCTCTGCTCGGGCACCCCGCCATTGACATTTACGCCCAGGACCCGGAGAGTGGCTGGAATGCGCTCCACAGGGCTCTGTATGCGGGCAACATTTCCATTGCGAGGATGCTTCTTGAAAAGGAACGCGCCGACTTGACAGGGCACATGGTTTCGGTGAACCGAGTGGGACAGCTTATCAAGACGAAGGACCACGAAGGCAACAGTCCGTTTGACTTGTACAACTCGACGATTGGAGAACGTAATTTGAAGGATTGGGATAGTGCCCAAGTGGCTGACGATGGGTCGGATAGTGATGACCCGGAGGAAACTGTTGAGAGCATCACAGCCGCGAGTCACCGGAACGGCATCGGAGAAGACCTGTATGCCTTTGGAAGCAACAGAAACCTGTCCTTGGGCTTTGGGGACGAGGACGATCGTCAGTTTCCCGAGAGAGTGTTTCTGAACCGCCCAGACCACCTCCTGCAACGATTTTACAATGAGTATCTCGAAGAAATCGGCGCCCAACGACCGGCGTCACAGGATCTGTCCAAGATTCCTGCTTTGGTCCTGAACCGGCCATTGATGATGCAGGATGTCGTGCTCTCCAAGCTCCACAGTGCAGTTCTAACAACAGATCCGGTTTCTAACCTTTACATCTGCGGTGTTGGACGTGGTGGCCGGCTGGGTCTCGGTGATGAGAACACGCGCTTCACCTACGTTCCCGTGCAGGGCCCCTTTGTCGATCGCAGGGTTGTCCAGGTGGCTCTGGGACAAAATCACACCATGGCTGTTGATGACACGGGTGCTTTGTGGACCTGGGGCAGCAATGCCCAGTCACAGCTAGGGTATGCGCTTCCTGCTCCGGCGAGGAAGGACGAGGAGCCCATCAGCACCATACCTCGTCAAGTTTTTGGTGCCTTGAAAAAGGAGGTTGTTCTTGGCGTCGCTGCCTCATCGGTACACTCGGTTGCTCACACGGGTGCATCGCTTTACTGCTGGGGCAAGAATCTTGGCCAGCTGGCCTTGATGGATGCTGACTCGAGATCGCTTGAACACCAGCAAACCCCTAGAAAGGTGGCCGCGTCCCTTTTCTCGTCGCCGATTGTCATGGTCAGCGCCATTGACAAGGCGACAACCATCCTGCTGCAGAACCACACAGTATGCATCTTCACGGGCTATGGTTATCATATTGTCAAATTCCCATTCGCGAGCTTTGACTACATCGGCAACCTCAGATTGTCAAATCGGCATGAAGTAGGTTGGAATCAGGTCAGCTACATCACCTCGGGCGGAGAAACCATTGCGGCGTTGACGAAACGGGGTGATTTGTTCACCATGAATCTGGATCACAAGATGGAAACGAACCCACCGGCCACATCGACGACGAACCCGTCCAAGCTCAAGGGCGCCGTGACGGCACCTCAACGGATCTGGAATGCCAGTAAGGACGGGGTCTGTTCGGTTGGTGTCGGGGAAAATGGTTCGGTGATTCTCAGCACCAAGTCTGGAGCTGTGTGGCGAAGGATCAAGCGTGTAAAAGGCAAGGGCGCTTCTTCCGCCAACAACATTTCGGAATCGAAGAGGAATTTCAAGTTCCAGCGCGTCCCCTATATCACCAAGGTTGCTACTGTTCGGGCCTCTGCGTATGGGGCTTTTGCTGCTATCCGGGAGGACTCGGAGGTGATGAAGCAGCAGCTGGCGGTGGATGAGCAGGCTCTGTGGGATGATGTGGCGCCGTTGAACTGTCTGGAGGGGTTTGAGGCTTCTGAGGATGGGGAATCCACGCAAGAAAGCCGGAAGTTTTGGGAGAACCCTGATCTTGAGGCACGACTTGGGGATATCGCTTATGAAATCTTGAGGTCCCCGGATCTGGAGAGAGACTTGGCTCAGCACCTGGCCACGTGGGGATGCCGAAACGAACCATTGGACACGGTCGTTTGCGTGTCGTCCGCCCCTGAGCTCAAGATTCCTGTGCACAGCTGGTTACTCTCTGCGCGCAGCTCGGTACTCCGACGAGCGTTGTCAGAGTTTCGGGGGACGGGCAGCTACGCACATGAGTTGTTCACCGTTCACAAGGACGACGACGACGGCAGCAAAACGGTCGTTTGCCTCCAGGGCTTGGACCTGCTCACGCTGTTGAACCTGGTGCTTTTTGCCTACCGGGACCGGGTGGTTCCGGTGTGGAACTATACGCGGCATGCTCCTGCGCTGGCGTACCGGTACCGCCAGGTGCGGTTGGAGGTCATGAGACTGGCCGCGCGACTCGAAATGCACAACCTTGAGGCTGCGGCGAGGCTGCAGGTGGAACCGGAGAGGTGCATGGATGAGGACTTTCGGGGTGCGCTCAAGGGGGACAGGAGGCGGTTTTTTGAGGATGGGGATGCGCTGCTCGAGCTTGATGGGACGGAGGTGGCTGTTCACAGCAGGTTTTTGTGCAGGCGGTGTCCGTGGTTTGAGGGCTTGTTCTTTGGGCGGTCCGGGGGGGGGTGGCTTGCTGGTCGTAGGCAGCAGGAGGAGAGGATCATCAGGCTTGATATGAAGCACATGGACTCTACGGCGTTTGGGTATGTGTTACAGTATCTTTACGCAGATACGGGGGATGAGCTGTTTGACTCGGCGGTTTGCGACACGTTTGATGACTTTTTGGATCTGGTCATGGAGGTCATGTCGACTGCGAACTATTTGATGCTGGACCGACTGGCGCAGATATGCCAGAAGGTCATGGGACGGTTTGCGAATATTAGGAATATTGCGCATTTTCTCAATGCGATTGGGCCGTGTTCGGTTACCGAGTTCAAGGACGCGGGGTTGGAGTATATTTGTCTTCAGCTGGAGACGATGCTGGAGAATCACTTGCTTGACGAGCTGGATGAGGACTTGTTGCTGGAGCTGGATGCTGTGGTGAGGGATAACCAGCTGGCGCATTATCCTTATCTGGCGAGTTATCGGGCGCAGCTGAGCAGTCAGTTGGATGATGCGGGGTTGGCGGAGGATGTACTTGAGGAGAGGCAGGTTAGGGTTAGGGAGATGGGGTTCAAGGTGCAGAAGGAGGAGGAGAGGAAGATGGGTGTTGTGAGTGGGAGGACCAAGTTTGGGAGTCTGGAGGAGGGGAGTTTGTTCACGCCTACGCCTGATAGGGTCAGGAAGGGGAGGAATGAGCCTTTTAGTCCGGATTTGAAGGCGAAGGGGGAGCAGGGGGATATGATGTTTGACATGGAGGGGGAGGAGGAGGATGATTCCTCGCCTATCAACAGTCCCTCCCTGCGACCCCGAAAGACTGGTGAAGTACCCGCGGAGGACAAGATCGCACCGCTGGGGAGCTCGGTGAAGGGGAAGGGGAAGAAAGTCTGGATGAGTCTAGAGCAGTCGTCGCCTCCGGTCAGCCCGTATTCCGCGCCTAGTCCTGCAAAACCTACACTTGCTGCTACCCGTCCCGTGGATGTAGGTGGTACTACTCCAGTCAAGACGGGGACTCCGTGGGGTGGTGCGGCTGCTGTGTTGACGGAGAAGCTTGACCTGAGGGGCATCATCCAGTCGGAGAGCCCCAAGTCGGCGCTGTCGGCGGGGTTGGCGGCGCAGAAGGTGAAGGAGGGGGGTGCCCCACGGCCTCCTTTCAGTGATTTACTGGGGCGGGTGGTG